TTTAATGCTTCCACTTGCACAGCTCATAGGGTGTTTGCTGTGCCCTTTGTTTTTCATGTGAGCCTATTTGTCACTTACAGAACTTTAAAAAAAGACGTGGTTGATCCTGGTGAGTTACAACAAGAGATGCCCTTGAATTTTTACTAGAAGAATAAATGTTTCTGTTTTTTTCCCGCAAAGAAAAAAAAATGCTCTTTCTTTCTGATCGCAGTCATAAAGCCCAGCATTGTATGTTTACTCAAATCTGTGTTCAGACTTTGTTCTCTGTTCAGAGCTACATCCCAGATCCTGGAGGATGCTAACACCTGTCCGAGTCCTTACCAACCAGCTGTTCCTATCCTCATCGTTCAAGTGTATTGGGGAGGGAGCAAAAAATACACCACAAAGGCCAGACAAGCCCAGTTTTTACTAAATGGAGAAACAGCTGTGTAAATCGGTTTTCTGTTAAAATTCTTTTCGGTCCCTCTCTCAACTATGGCCTAAGAGAGCTTTGAGCCAGGGCGCAAGGCTTGCGGGGGGAGGACGCTCCCCAGTCAAATGCAGCAGGTAGCTCTCAGCTCTCACAGTTCTAGTTCTGCCACGTAGTTAGCTCAATTATCCGTCTCTCTTCCCACCTACTAATAAAGGGAGCGGTTTCTCTTTGGCTTGCTGAAGAGGGTTTTGAAGTGATAATAGAGTGTGTTTGCTCCAGAACAAGTTCCTTGTAAAGGGAGTGCGTAAAGCACAGCGAGGCTAGCTTGAGAAAGGAGCACGGGAAACAAGTGGGCTGGCAGCCTTAAACAAACCAACGGGCCTGATAGCAGCAAGTTCTTCCTTCAGCAGATCACTGTAAACGGTTTTACACAGCGTAAGCTGTGTCATGATATTTTTTTCCAAGTGCGTGCTGTGAAACATATTCTTAGTTGCTGTTTTAATTATTGAGTGGAAATGTAGGCCTTGTAGACTGATTATGAAACAAAATACCTAGGCCTCAAATACAGAGTGAAAGGTAAGATCAGCCAAGCTTGAGAAAGCAGTTTAAGGTGGTTCGGAAACCCTTCAGTGAACTCTGTGGTGACAGATGGTAAGATTACCTGAGAGCTTGTAAGAAATGGTAGTGTTTTGTGTTAACGCCAATGCTACTGTGGGTGTAAGTGCACTCCTTTAATCTGAGCTCTGAATCTTTTGAATATCCCAGACCATTTGGCATGCGCTGCTTTGTGGAAATGCAAAGGGAGGGGGCAAAAACCCAACTGTTGGCTTGGTTACTGCTTGTATGTTTGAGATACCTTCCGGAGAATTCAGCTGTATCGCCCAGCACCCAGACGCCAGCACTGTGTTCCTGCCCAGAGCAGCACAGATCCTAGAAGCCTTTGTCCAGTCTGATGCCTCTTCTTCCCATTCTGTTAGAGGGAATGGAGTCCTCGCTGTTTAAACTACCACCGCACTCTAAAGGCTGGCCATAGTGTTGATACTTTGGCCAGAAGCCACACAAATACCTCCTAAACAAGCCTGTCAGTCCCGAGGTAAATGCTGTCCTAACTCCAGCCAGTGAAGAAGATCTGTTGGTAGCTAGACATTGCTTTGCAGAATAGAGACGGGGACTGAAACAGCAGAATAGGCAGAGGGATATATCCTGCTCCCCGATGGGAGCAATCATGCCAGTCTTGATACAGTAAAAGGAAGCTTTTGTTAGGTTTTGTGGGCACATTTGGAATTCTGACAACCCGTCTTTTCCTCCCATCCCCTGAGGGTTCATCCATGCTTGCAGCTGTGGGTTATTTGGATGGAGTTGTTGTGGTCCCTGACCACAGTCATAATAAGCTGTGTGCCTTCTGGTTAGAGGCATCTGGCATTCTCGGACAAGCCCTTGCTGCCATCAAAGTTGTGCCAGTATTGAAAGTTGTTCCAGTGTTGATACTCTCCGAGATTTGGAAGACTTAGAACTAGTTACTCTAGGAAGGGTCTATTCTCCTCATTGTCTAACAGCAAATAAATGCCAAATTGAATGGGAATAAACCAGACCTGACAGGCAGTCCAAAAATCAAGAAACTGTTTTACATTAGATTTGGGACTAAAATAGGAGCTGAGAACAGAGCAATATATTTTGCTTTACAAGTTTTTGCTTTAATCTTGCTTCATATATTAAATTCTTTATAGAAAGAAGTAAACCTACCCTTTCTCTGAACATAATAGAAACAGAAAAGGGGATTGAACTCTTACATCCCTGTCCCAAAGGTGGAGGAAAAGTCTTCATCCTTTTCTAGACCTGAGGGAATCACACAAACACATACAGCACTGCCGCCTGCCTGCATCATTCCCTCTCTGGAAATTCAGAACGAGTTCATGATGTTTGCTATGAAGGTCTCCGACACCCTGCTGGGGTGTGCTCTCTGTGCAGTTACCAGTATCACGTGCTGCTTATCAGACTCGCGGGGGCATCGGGAATTTTTAACAGGTGCCTCGCTGTCCTTATAACACTGATAAGGGCTTGAAGTTTGCCATCATATAGATGGCTGGCTGAGAAGAGACCGGTCTTAATTGACACAATAGAGTCTGAATTTGTCTTAATGAGTCAATTTACCCATGTAATTAAAGTTCCTCATCTCCAAAGAAATTGTGCCTTGTATTTTGGTCCTGTATCAACAAGCCTGATTCTTTCATGTTGTTCTCATAGGTTTGTAGTGAAAAGAGAATTCTCTGAATTCCACAGTGCTGTCTCAAGAGAGATTACATAGTTGAAAAATTTGGTGCAGTAGTACACACTGTAAGTTTTGGGTTGTCACGCCACATTTTTGGTCTGCTTCAAGAATATTCCAATATTCACAATCTGTGAAACAGCTGCATGTATCCATCTGTTCATTTTTATTAAACATTGCTTATTTAACTTGGTGCTAGTTCATTGTCAAAGTTGAGAGAGCAGTAGTGTGCTTGAGGGATACCACTATTCACCATCTTTGACAGTGAACTGCAGTGGAACTCAAATCAGTACAAATACAAAGAAAAGGTAATTGTCTCTTACCTTGTAGTACCTATGGTTCTTTGAGATGTAATCAATATAGATCCCGCAGTCCTTGCCTTTGAAGACTTCAAATTCCAGCTGGTTTGTATTATGAGGGAATGGCTAGAAGGTCATGTTGGAGCTTCCCCTCCTGATCTCCCAGTGGAGCATGGAGAGGCTCAGGGCATGTACACAGCATCAGCAGCCAGAGCTGCTAGTGATGTTCTAAGCTCATATGATTGGAAAGGATGCACCTCTAGAGTTACAAAATGATTGTCACTTTTTTTTCTCCTGAAGAGTAGTAAGAGTGATAAGAAGCCAGCAAAGTTCGGTGATTTAGACCTCCAGACTGAAGACAAGAAATGGGTCTGAATCGTGAAATATTTAGCTATTTGCAGTCTTTTATTGCTGCCAGTGCAATGAACTAGTATGACAGATGATAGACTTTGACCTTAGAGATTTTGATTAAATATATTAAAACAGAAACAATCATCAAATGATTAATACATAAATAAGAATTTCAGCTGAGGTAGGGCCAAAATAATAATGGCTAATTCTAGTGATGAGCCAGAAATGGTGGTGGTTGCATTTATGGTTTAACAAGAGATGAGAGGGGAAAAAAGAAATAAGGTTTTAGGGTCAAGGAACATTCTACATTATCAGGTTTTGACAGGCAATTTAAGGTCTGAGAAAGAAGAGTAATAGTAGAGTCAGAGACTTGGAACAAAGAGAATATGTCATCTGTAGTGAGGATTTCAGTCTTTGAAGCATTCAGTAATAGGTCTTTGGTTGCATTATGGTTTTTTGTTTTGTTGGGGAGGAGGGGGAGGATTTAAGGCAGAGAGGATCTTAATTCTGCAGTGTTCACTGTCTCCCTGGCTAAACTCCCACTGATACCTGTTCATCTTAAGTAAGGGTTGCCGTGGTCAATACAGAGAGTTTGAAAGATCAGAGATCAAACCGAAAGGGATGAAGAATTGTTTGTCAGTACAGGAGAAGGCATCAATAAATTAATAACATGGACCATAGCAGTGATCTGTTTCAGAGCCAGAAGGAGGAGAAGCAACAGGATACAGTGAATTATCATCCTTGTATTTTGCACTAAAGGTTAAAATACATTATTGCAGAAATTTTTTCCAGTGTATTTTTATTTTATGAGAGACTGTTTCAGCTTTGGAGATAACTGTTGTCGTAGAATCATCAAACCCATGTTAGGCCAAATGCAAACTAGAGTAGTTACAATAAAATTAATTTTGGTGGTATCATAGAGTCATTGGAAGAGAAGGAAAGACACCACAGAGAGCAAGAAACTGCATAGGTTGTGTGTACCACGTTTTAACATGGCATCACCTTTCCGATAAATGTGGTTGTGGGGAGTTAAGTGGTTCAGGAACCTCCCTTACCATTACCAGAGCAAGGTGCCCCAGTGTCTCCAGCTAATGGTCTTGGCCTCGTCCTGCAGACCAGCGTGGGGAATGGGCATGTCGCGTGAGGTTGCTCGGGGGGTTGGTGACAGCATGAAAAGGAGCGTTAGTGTCTTGGGTCTGCCCTGCGGCACCCACAGCCCCCTCCTTCCTCTCCTTTTGCGTGGTTTCTGTTCCCTTTCTGGCTAACCAGAACGGATCCATCTGCTGGTGAAATCGTTTATTTTAGTAGGTCATTTATGAGCTCTCTTCAATGATTTGTCTCTTTAGAAGGATCAAAAATGAACAAAGAGAAACGGATGTAATTACTGCCTATCCTTTTGAACGTAGATTTGGGACCGGTAAAAGACTCAAAATGAGACTGGTGAGCTTTCTGTCAGCTGTGTTCACCGAAAGCACTGTATCATTAAAGGACAGTGGTAGTAATTGCTTAGTGCCATTGCTAAGTTGAACTATTAGTCTGTGAACGCTTGTTCCTGTAATTTAATTTCTTAATGTATGAGTTGCTATTCTGCTGCGAAGCGTGGAAAGCCATTATTTGTGCCATTTGTCATTGTGGTTAAGAGCATCAAATAACCTGTATCCTTTACCACCAGCAATGCATCTGTTTGGCCTCAACTGGCAGTTGCAGCAAACGGAAAATGATACATTTGAGAATGGAAAAGTGAATTCTGATACTGTGCCAACACATCCTGTAACAGTACCTGCTGGAGAAAATGGTAAGTGAAACAGGCACCTTTTTTTCGCCTTCTTTTGGAGCGTTTGCTTTCTTTGTGTCTGACTTACATCACCAGATTTTAACACTTTCCTTCCAAAACTCTGTGTATTTAATGGAGGTACAGAGCGTTTGTAAGCAATAGTCATTTTAAATAAGCATGTAGTTATTAAACAAGAGTTGTATTTTGATTGAAAAAAGCACAGTGTTCCTTCTGCCTAGAATGTGAAGGGACTGATGAATCCAGGGCAGTAATGTTGATTCTCTTAGAAAAGCTGGGTGAAATTCCTCATGGGAATTTACATTTGATGAGGATAGAGGAGATCTCATCTCATCCAGGAAAGCAGAACCTCCACTTACCCTAAAATCATTGATGACATAATGGTTGTCCTCAGAGGTATCGGGATGGTGCTGAGGCTGGCTCGGACCATCCTGCCTGAGGGGCTAGGGTGCCTGGGGTCTCGTGCTGCAGAAATGGCCACAACAAAGCCGGGGACCCCAAGGTGACATAGTTTGCGGACGAAAGCCTTGTCTGTGACAGGGGGACATAATCTCTTTTTCTGAAGCATTGACACCAGAAAAGGCACTGCAGAGAGTTTTTGCATGTTTTCGAAGCTTCTCTTTTAGCTGTGTGTAGAAGGCAACTCATCATCAGGGAGCTTCCTGTGGCATGATGACCTCCCTATGGAATGGTTTGTGGGCTTTTCTACAGATGATGATTTCATTTTTTTTTTTTTTTTAAGTTTCTCTCTGAAATTTAATAGGTCATGAATAATATGTTCATTTGTTTTCTCTAAGTGTCAAGCACATCATACTGAGTCTGAATCATCCAACCAATATATCGAGTTAAAAAAAACCTTCCAAAAAACTTTATTAATTTTGTTGTAGGAGCTTTTAAAATACAAACCACATAAAGGGATTATTTTTTATCAACCTTTTTCCACGTTGCCCTTTAAGATTCTCAAAACATTTAAGAGCCTGTGCACTTTTGGCTAACAGAGGCTTTAAAATCAATAGTTTTTGAATGGAAAACTTGATTTAAATGGTTGATGAATGCGGTGTTTGCTTCATTACACAAAAATCCATTTTCCCTTTCACAAGGTAGCGCTGACCTCCTTACCACTGAGGAGGAGGAAGCCTCTGCCAGCAGTTGACATCTTGAAGATTTTTCAAGTTATCACAGCTCCAAGTTACAGAAAAGAAACTCCTCAGTTCATTCTTTTTGACATCTTTGTAAAACTTCTTCAGTAGGACTTTTTCTTTTTTAATGTCCTTTACCCTACTGCCTTTTTCTTTCACTTAGATACTCATTATCTCCTTCTGTGTTCTTACTTGTTTTGAATGAATAGCAAAAAGCTACTGTGTGGTTAATGAATACTGATGCTGCTGTGACAGCTCATCATCCCGCTGTCTTCTGCCCTCAGTAGCCAGTATACTTTCTTGTACAAAATATGCGCGTTTTTGTAAATATGTTATAAATTCTTTTGTCCTTGATCATTGATTTTTTTTTTTTTTACAAATTCAAACCTCTTATAATTTGCCTCAAAAATAAAAGGGGGTAACAAGTATATCAAATGCCATTTTTGCTTCCTTATGTCCCTAAATACTGTACAAGAGAACAGGGTTAATTCCATCCACTTCTAAAATGCTGTCCTCTGCAGAATATGGTAAGTGGCCATTTATCAGCATACATCAATACTAAACAACAGGCAGACCAGAGAATACACATTTTAAACCACCAAAGGAAGGTTGAGCAGAAGATAAAGTGTGATGACTAGATGTCAAATTTGCAGGGGGCTCTGTGCTGTCATACTATTACGGAAAACTGGACGGAAGAATCAATAAACCTTGATTTGGGTATTTCGACAGCTGAACATCTTTTAGTACTGTGCCCCTCTTTAGGCCCCTGGTAATATCCTGATACTCTGGTTTAAGTGGGAGAAATTCCCTGGGTTGTATGCCATTTTCCTTGACTCTCTCTTCTGAAATTTGGATGATCCTGGGCCTGCTTTGGTCAGAAAATCATAGCCCACTGCGTCCTAGATCCCAGGTATTCATTTGCCATTCAGAAGTACTGATACTTTGTGTCATGAATTAGTAAAGCTGCACCTTGAATGTGGATCCTGATGACCTCTGAAGAGAATTCAGCTGTGGTTTACCTTGAAATAGCTAGTCATAAATTGACAGTAAAAGCATGTTAAATCATCCTTAAATGCAAATCATTTGTTTAATGAAGCTTGAATCTTTGAACAAGCTTTTTCCAAACGATTTTTTTGTTCGTTTCTCTTGTGAATGGGTTTTTTTTTCCTTTCCCAGTGCTTGTCTCTATGTGAGCAGTAAACTGCTGGCAGCATATCACCTCCTCATCTAGACAGGCCTAACTCAGGGCTGCGTACGGTGGCCTAAGAATGTGTGTTTTCTATGGATACGATGAATTTTGTAGGCCATTTAGGTCCTCCAAAGTAATTTGTGAGCCACGCTTAATCAAATACAAACATTTACTTGAGGTACATCTGTGCTTCATCCCTTTTCATAACTAGGTGATACAAAAGTTGAAAAACAAAACTTGTTTAGCCATTGTGTTCTAGGAGTTGGTCACATCTCACATGGTGCTGGCTTTATGTCATATACAATCAGTGCAGGTCAGAAATGCCTTATAATGATTTATGCTTAATTGCAGATTTTTCTAAATGCACAAGAAGAAAAAAGTCAATGTGAAAAGGGGCATGTCTTTTAGCTTATTTAAATGCACTCTTTGAGATTATAGCCATTAAAATACATTATACTTGATTTAACTGATACATGTTGAGCATTTTTGTTTTGTTTGCAGCATCTGATGTTGCACAGTAACTTCTTAATTAGATGTTATGCTGGCTATTTTTCTAATAAGGTGTATTTTTAAGGAGGATTTTGATTTCATTTCTGGAAATGGCTGTTGCAGAAGGTTGTACAGCAGATTTCTCACAGAAAAGGATCTGAATACAAGCTTGTTCAGTGGAATGGGAGAACATGCTGTTGACTGCAACCTAATATTCTAATTAGTTCTGCCTTTGAAGTAAGGAATGTGATATTTTGTGGCATTACACAGCTGTTATTGTTGAGTGTTTTTGTATTTTGGTTGTGCATTCATTTTTATTCTGTGTTACCGATACTCGGTTATTCACAGTGTATCTTGTCTTTTCATCTATAGAATGTTTACAAGGAGAGGGAGTTTGGGTTCATGTTACTCTAGGGATATTTGTGAATGATTTTTCTCATATAACAATTTTTTAAATATTTTAAAATACTGATTTATATTTTTATTATTTTAGTGATATTTGTGAGTTTGGGTTTTTTTTATATAATTAAGTTGGTTTACCCTGACCTCATATAGTCTAAACGCTATTTACAAATACTAAATATAACAAATATTTTACGGATTAATTAGCCATAATACATTGGATTATCTGTATCATAAATGCATCATATGATGATTGTATATATTAGGCAATATGTGGTACAGCAAATGAATGTATTTTGGAAATAAGTAATAGTATATCTATCAATATAAGTACAAATGTTGATATCAATATTATTTTCCTATAATGTTGTATGTGTATTTGTATTACTGTCTTTTGGGGATGGTCTGTGAAAGAAGAAATTCTGAGGGTAGAGAAGCATAGTGAAAGAGAACAGATTCAGGAGGCTAGGTATTGTACCATTTGGTTTCTTATTTGGACTGTTATTACAGAATTGTGTGAATGAATGCGACATTTCATATTTTGATTTAAAGCTCTGGGTAAGAACTGTTACTGTTTAGAATGTGAGATGGAAATGACACTACCGAGACTTTTCTTATGCCTATTGAGATACAACAGGGAACAAACAGTAATTAACACCCAATTCTTAGGAAGACAAGCAACCAGTGACAGTTTTGAGAGCGGTGGCATGGCATTAAAGAGACACGGCTACATGTCGCAGGGCTACAGGGTAAAACTGCCTCTATTTCGGTGAAGAAATGGGAGTCCGTAGGATCGTTGTCTGCTAAGGATAAGTGTTGAAGCGCAGTTACAGGCTTTCCTTGCAAGCTGGTCAAAATGCTTGATCAAGTGCACCTGCCCAAGCTATCGGGTTCATCTTTTCCCAAGGAAGAGGTAGTTGTTTCTCATTTCAGATGTAGAGAAGAGGGGAAGCTGCAGATCAATACTGCAAGCAAGTGTTTATTGTTTAGTGATTACTAGTCATCAGTGTGTGAATTTATATGACACAACATGCTTACCTTTGAAAGAAGTGGTAAGAAACAAATGCTTAAGTGAACCACAATAGTGCATACAGATCCATCCTCTTGGATAACGTATGCATGTTGTGAAAGGTTAAGTCCAAAACTAGGAAAGTATCACTCGTTTTCAGGGACTGCAACACCGTTGTGGCACAGCTCTGCTGATGATGCCGGTCCCCACTCAACGCCTCTCAGTGCTTCTGTACCTGTTTAATTCAGCAGCAGTCTCTGTTCATCTTGGATGCACAAAAAATGGCAAGGATCAATCTGTGACCTCACCTGGCATTTCAGATTTTAATCTAGTTTTTTAAAGTCTAAATGTTTGCAAAAAGGTTGTGTCAGTTTGTTCCATCAAATGATGAATAATGCAGAATCTGAACGTAAAAGACAGGGCAGCCACGAAGCGTTGTCAGTTCTTCAGAACACTTGTAGGCAAACAAGCCAGCATCACTTGAACATGCTTATCACATTCAGATGGGTTTCGTTCAATCTTTATAATAGACTAGCTGCTGAAAAAAAGAGTATAAATTGGTAAAGACACAATGGTCTGTAAGATTGTAACGACAGTTCCATTTTAATTTATACTGCTTCACTCAAGGCTCACTTTGATGTACCAGCTGCTTACATGTGGCATTACTTGCTTACTCCAGAGCTGACACGTGTTGGTAGGCAAGTTCTTAGACACACCTTTGCATCTTAGTCCAGATTTGACAGCGCTGGTTCCACTGGATCGAAGTGGGCTTTGACCCTGGCACCAGCTTCCAAGACTCCCTGTGCCCAGCCGCGTGGCGTGGAGTTAGTGCCTGAACGTCAGACCTGAGCCTTTGGCCTCAAACAGACTTGATGCAAATCCATCTGTAGGTGTTGTTAGTATTGTATAAATGCTCTGATTTTTAATGTAGAAAAGACTGTGTATTACTTCTCTTGACTGCTTATATTTATGTATCTATCATTCTTGAAATCTGTATGCTGCATTTCCCTTTACCTTAATTTTTTTTTAGTGTGAGACTTTATGCTGGAAAACCCTGTTAAAATACTTGGGGAAAAAAAAAATGAATGGTTTAATGTAGATCCTAAACCAGTTTCTGTAATGCTAGCGCTTAGGGAAGTCACAGGATTTAACTTGGTAAGTATTGGTGGTATCTTGGCCTTTTTATTTCCAAATCGGTGAATTCCCTGGAATCTTACATTCAGAAAGATTGTCAGATAACATTTTATCTGCGGTGATTCTAAATACACCATGGTTAATGTGAAGGATGATGGAAAGCAAGAAAGTAACTTTTGATCCCTTCTTCTTCTAACCTGTCAGGAAAGTCAGGCGGATTTGCACAAGAAAACAATACTATAGATTCTGGAGAACTTGATATAGGCCGAAGAGCGATACAAGAAGTTCCCCCTGGGATTTTTTGGAGGTCGCAACTCTTCATTGATCAGCCACAATTTCTAAAATTCAATATATCCCTTCAGAAAGATGCATTGATTGGAGTTTATGGCCGAAAAGGCTTACCGCCTTCACACACTCAGGTGAGAACTGCTTGCATTAAAAGTAGGGCACATTATTGAAAACTGTAAGTTTGTATCTTTTGTATCTTTTTTTCTGTCTCAGGATGACATCCTTTTCCATTTTGCTGATTTTTATTTTTACTTTTTATGCTTTATCGATCTCATGTGATGTCCAAAACATTTATAATACTGTAAGTGATCAAGTTGAAAAGCATTCTTATTTATGAGCTGTTCTGAACGCCATGAGCAATGATGGTGCTTTAGGTAGGGAGTCGTTTCCTGCAGGATTTATAGGTACTTTTTTCCTTCTGTGCTATATGGACAGATCTTTAAAAACCTACGCAAACTAATACAGCGTCTTAAGGCCACACATGCGGTCAAGAGTGCCTGGCAGAGATCACATCAGCCAAATTTCCAAGCAAGACAGCAGTTGTTTGAGGAAGTTTCAGTTTGTTCTACTAGCAAACACTATGGTGTTTCAGCTTGGCATCTCACTGAACAAATACATAAAAGAAAAAATAGGTAATAGGTGTCTGCAGACATTCAGTGAACTGGGCTTGTAGAAGTGTCAGTCTTCACTAGACACCTCGTGTCTTGAAACTTTCTTCTTCAATGTCCTGGAGGGTTTCTTCTCCTCCATCCCTCAGGTTTGCAATGGCACCTTCTATTGCATATGGTCATCGCCTAGTGCCAAAGAAACACTTTTCATCCACACTTAGAGCACAATTAAAGTATAAAAGAATAAGTAGTCTTCTAGGTTGACAGGAGAAAGGGAGAATCATTGTTTGAGACAGTATCTATGAATCAATTGTATTCTGATTTTATTATTAAGATTTAAGACCCTCCAAGTTTAGACTTCTTTTATCTTGGTATTTGTCCAGCTACTGGCTCTGAACCATTGTTCCACCTGAAAAGGGAGTTAAGCTCATGCTTTTCTACCCCATTTAGAGAATTATTCAATGTCTTACTGATTTTTTTTTTTAAGTTTATAAATTTGCCCTGGGCACGTAAGTATAGCAATCTAATGGTGTAATTGGAATAAAGCTTGACTGATTATGCCTGATAGGCAGTTGCAATAGCAAATTTATAACTCCAAAATTCAAATATTTTATTTTAATCCCACTTTTTAAAAAAATTTTATTTGCATGCTACTGCACTATTTAAATTTATTTTGTTTCTTCTTCAGGCATAACTTTTTAGAAATATTGCTAATTATAGCACTTACTTAGCAGTCACAAACCACAGAGGAAGAATTAGGGCCAGCAAAGGAGTTTCATGCAGCTAAAATCACAGAAAGTTACATTAGCTTTGGTTTTTAGTTTAGTTTCCATTAAACTACAAACAATTTACTAACGCAGAAAATGTAATTATGTTTATTTAAAGATCTGATCGTCATAAAAATGATTAAATGGATTTTCTTCAGATCTTCACATATGAACACCCACCCTCAGGCTGACAACAAGCATGAGAAATTCTAGCTCAAAGAAAATTGATTCAGAAAGTTATCAGCCATTGGAAATAGGGGTTTGGAATACAAATGGCATCTCAATGATAACAATAATAACAGGAGCTAGGGGAAAACGTGTGGCAAGAATGAATAAAACTGAAGAAGCTGATCTGGACTCTGCATTTATATGAGAAGATATGCAAGTAGATAAGTCTATGAAAAATGATCCTTTCTTGATTCCTTATCCTGGCAAAAGATTGAAATAGAGGTGCCCTTTATCCAAAATCTTAGGAAAAGGAGATAACCAAATCTGTTCCCCATGATCTGCATTACAGAGTCCTTTCCCTTTGGATTCCTACTGCCCAAGTGCTTATTCTGTTTAAGTATGATACAACAGAAGGAATCACATACAAATCCTGCTACTCTGTCTTCTGTAGTTGCTGTGACATTTCAGATATATTGTTCCCAGGATATAGGTCAAGCTCCCTTGTCCTATTTTTGCTTGGCATATAATTACAGTTTTTTTTACAAACCATTTGACTGACACTTGATACCTAGAAAAATTAGGCATGCTTACTTATCAGTGCCCTAGTGAACTCCTAGGGCTGCTGAGGATTCCCAAGGGTGCAGGGTTATCAGCCTGTTTATATGGCCTTGAACCCAATGGTGTCTGCTTTAGGTGCCTGAGATAAAGCGTCTATGTAATCTCCTACAAATGCAGTTCCAGCGAGCCGTTGGGGTTTTTTTTGTGTGTGACTGCGTTCCTTCACATGGAGGAGGAAATGGAGTAAAATACTTCTCAACAGGTTAGGCCTTTCTTCAACGAAGTCCTAATCAGAGGACTTTGATAAGACACAGCTCGTACTGATAAAAGATGTATTTTACCCAAGTAGCTTATATAAACAGTATAAGGTATTTAGGCAAAACAACCTCTAACCGTTGTGCCTTGTACTGACAAAGTTCTTAACCGCAGGCCCGGCATAGCTGGCAGGGCCAGACTAACAGCTAGTTCTGGGCATCCTTCCCTTGGACAAGGCGGCCTACTCGGGTAGCTCCAAGTGTCACAGGACTGTACTGGAAAAACACGTGGATGTCCATGCTGGGTCTGATCAAAGGCCCATCTAGCCCGGCACTGTGTCTGTGGTGGTGGCCATCAGCAGACGCCCAGACTTTAACTTAGCAGCGTTACAGATCTGTAGTTGTTCTTCCTACAGTACACTCTTGGCCTCCGGCGGTTTAAGGCTGAAGGACTTCCAGAGTCAAAGGTGCTGTCTTAGCATTTTACAACCTTTGATGGATTCTTTATTCCTGTAAATTTGCGTTGTCACCTTTTGAACCTCTGGAAGCTTTTAGCATCCATGACATTTGCAGCAAGGAGTTTCACGGCTTAACTACACATCTCACACTGTACTCCTTAGTGTGTTTTGAGGCAGCCTCCTGGTAGTTTTAGTTTGACACCCTTTTAATAGTGTTTTTGAAGAGGCAGTGGAGAGTTTCTCACCAATTTCTTCTCCGTGCCACCCTTGATTTATAGATTGCTGGTTTCCTCAATGGGTTGTATTTTTTCCAGTCTCATTAATCTTTGCATGAAAGCTGCTTCAATCCTTTGGTCATCCTTGTCCTTTGCTGAATGTTCTCGAGTTCACCCGCAGCCTTTTTGAGATCAGGAGACCAGAACAGCACAGAACATAGCAGATGTTTAACTACGATGGTTTCATCCAGTGCCTCATCGATGTCTGCTTCGGGTTTTTTTAATCGTAGAACTGATACTTCCGTAGATCTGTCTACCATAGCTCCAAGATCTCATCCCAGAGTGATAAAAGTTGGCTCAGAGCCCATCTCTGGATGTGTAAAGCTAGGGTTGTTTCATGAGGACTTTGAAAAGCAGGATCTCACCCATATATATCACTTCATGTCTGCGTCTCTTGAATGCTATCTGCCCTTATCTCCTAGTCACAGAGTGACAAGTGCTAATAACAAAATTTATGCAAATGAGCAACTGCTGCCTGTTCCTCAAACGTCAGTATTTGAATTTTCAGATCTTATGTTAAATAATAGAGAACTGATTACTACCTGCACTCTGCCAGCATTCATAAAGTTTCCTTACCAGCTGTCCCTTTCCACTATCTTTTCTCATATGCCGATGATGCCCTTTTCTCATACGCCCGTACCCTAAGTGTGTAACCACACACCACCATCTTCTTCAGCTCCCCCCTTACAGCTTCCGTGTTTCTAAGAATGTCTGCCGTTTCTCCGTGTCATCTTTGGCTAGAGTGCAAAACTTGCATGTTGCGTTTGCCACCTTGTTCTCCGCTTCTCCCCTGGACTCTTTGCCTCGTTACCCACCTCTTTTTTTGTATCTGGCTAAAATCAGACAGTGAGTAAGAAGAAACGGGGGTCTTTCTTTCCACAGCTGTACAACCTCTCATGCTAATTATCCTGCCACTGCAGCGGACGTAATGAATGTATGGCAGAGATGAGCAGAGGAGAGATCTCAAGAAGTTTTTTAGTTTACATTCTCATCTTGGAATAAGATTGACTGTATCTAAACCATTCCTATCAGTTGCTTAGCATTTCGTCATAAAATAATAACAGAATGCAGCAAATCTAACTCTCCTTCTGTCCCATAATCCAAAATAATAGGGTTGCAGCCTGCAGGAAATGGTTCGATACATTGTAATCAGGACGGAATTTCTGGTTGTGTTTCTGTATTCTCTTTAGGTGCCGAAATCGGTCTCAAGCACAGCCACAATGTGTGTGTCACAGACTGATCTGAGATGCATAGTTCTCTCTTTCTGGGGAATCATAAATAAATCAACCAGAAATAATTGACGGTGGCTGTCCATTCAAAACCCAATCAATGAGAGCCTGAAAGTCTTTGTGACACTTTCTAAAAATGTCAGTTCCATTGCAGCCAGAGAATCAATATGTTTATTTAAAGAGACTTTAAGAAAAGGACTTTGGTTTAAAGCAAAACTGAATGGAGTGGTAGGGCAAATCAGTGCGTTTAGACCCAAAATAAAGGTAATTAATTTGTCCTCAGAGGAGAAAATTAAGACTGGTATGTTTTTTTGCTTATAAAGATAATTGTTCTTCCAGTCTGTTTCTGTTTTCATGTCCTAAATAGAAAACCCCACCCTTTAAAAGGGTTAAGATCAATTGTTGTTTTTTTGCCGGAGAAGAGACTGCACAGTAAGTTCCCTTCTGTATGGCTTTTAAAATGTAGTCCAAAATGCGTGTTCTGATAACTGCATACATCCTTATTACATTACAAATGCAAAATCATTTATTGTACCGTGCTTGTCTGCCATTAGAATACGCTGAGTGGTCAGCCAAGTAGTGTGTTCACTTGCTCCTGTGTCAAAAATACGGGTTTCGTCTGAAATTGTCCTCCTACAAAAAAGGATCCTCTGCAGTATACGAATTCGAAGGTCGCTGCTAATGTCCATAAATGACTCATTAAAACTCAGAACACCACAGTCTTTCTTTTTCAAAATATTAGTGAGAAACAAGACCAGGAAGAAGACTTCTTGAGTCAGACAGGAGGAAAACAAAAAAATCCACACACAACCTAAAATTGTTTTTCTCTCTCTCAGAAAATAAGATAAATATTTAATTCTCTGACAAATGAGAATGTGGAATGGGTTTGAATAATTGGTGCTCTCCCAAAACAGTTGCATTGGTTTTCATGTGGTGCAGCCCATACATTCAGAGTGACAGCGTACCGAGGTACCAGCTTCTGCACATCCTAATCACGTTATCTTCTATTCTGCTGGTTCAGACATAGCTGGAAAAGGGTCTCAGGTGTTGATAGAGGCATATTAACTGTACCTTGCCCTCACATCCTAACTGCTAAGGAGATGGTTCTGATTACTGGGGAGGAACGCTCTTACAATAGCAGTGAATTTTAGCCCGCAATTTCAAGAAGAGAGCATAAGTACTTAAACCCTTGGTCTGGGACAAAGGCTATCGTGTTTTCTTTTGTCTCGGGAGCAGTTTCTGAAGGTCACAAGTCAAGGTGTAAAACCACTGATTCTCTCGTCCTGGCAATCGATGTTATCCTAGCTCAGGTGAATCAGCAGTTTCACATGCTGCCCTTTACTTTAATAGGCCCTGAATGTAATTCCATTTGAGAGAGATCTCAAACGTGTGGAAAGATTGAAGGTTTCCATGTTACAGTTCACTTCATACAATAAACGTGTGTCAGAGTAAAAGTGCAGCCGTGAACAGACTCGGCAGGAAAAGCAGACACTCGCCACCACAAGCAAGAACGCTCTTTAATTTTCCCACCCGTTTAATTTTGCTATATGCACATTGATTTCTACGTGATGCATGTGCAGGAGACATCCTTCAAGCCATGAGAGCAGACTCCCAGACGGTGTGAATCAGCTCAGGGCCCGGAGCGGGTTTAGCCCTCTGGGTGTTAGCAGTGCTAGTTGAGATTAAGATGCATTAAACCTTGTGCTGTGGGTTTGTGTATCAGCTGAGATGATGCTACATTTTTCCAAGCACTGATCACAGAATCATTTATGATTGTTAGTGTTCCGATGGTTGTAAACAAAACAGTATGTGCTCCCCGTTGACCTGAGGTACCGTGTTTTTCTACAGTTGCGATGTTGTATGCTTTCCATCTCCGCTTTTGGGCTTCTGTGATAGGAAGTAAAGCTCTTGCTCTCCTTCCTCCAGAATTCCAGAATGTCTGAAAGGGGGATTGAACACTTTAATCCTCCCTCTGAAAGTAAATGGAAAGCAAAGTGCACCATTGGTGTTGGATATTATTATTAACCGATATGCGTATAACACTTTGAACATGAGCTCTCACCTGTAAGTCAAAGGTGGCAGTTGTGACTGCAGATTCATCTCAACTGATGTCTTCTTCCCTCAGTGTATGTGATAGGTTCATTGGCCACTTGTCACTGAAAAAGCCACTGCAGTAAGATGAGGGCTAGTTGGCATTTTTGTTTGAAGTCTTAGCAAGGGGCAAAGAAGTAGGCAAGGGTGGGTGGGTTTCAGCACCTGCTTCCCTGCTGCAAAGGGAAGCTCTTGGTCAAAATACAGGCATATTGTCAGGATGCTGTGGGGAAGCTGGCGGTGCCGTGGGTCATCCCGTGACTTGTCAAGCTCCTGTCTGTTCCTCCCCGCAGTATGACTTTGTGGAGCTCCTGGATGGCAGCCGGCTGATTGCGAGGGAGCAACGCAACCTGCTGGAATCGGAGCGAGCGGGGCGGCAGGCAAGGTCTGTTAGTCTCCACGAGGCAGGGTTTATCCAGTATTTGGATTCCGGCATCTGGCACCTCGCCTTTTATAACGATGGGAAAAATGCGGAGCAGGTGTCTTTTAATACCATAATAATAGGTAAGCATAATCTTCAAAGCTCTTACCAAACGCTAGTCCTCAGTCAGGTTTTTTAGGAATACAGAGATGCGTCTTTGTAGTTAAATGATCTGACTGTTTTTTCACAGGTTTTCCATTCATAGTGTTTCTTTTGCTGCTCAGAACAAAATGCAGAATATCCATGTTAATTACTTGGTCTAAGGCATAAGGGGCATCCCTTCTTGTAAAACAGCGCTTGGAAGGGGGACGCTGTTTGGGAGTATTTGTTAAATGGCACAGGTCTGGACTTCCAGTATGGAGCTCATATGGTTTTACCATTATAATCTGAGCCTTTTTGTTGGAATGTGGTGTCCTAAGATACTAGAGGCATGGGCAATAGAAAATCACAGCTATTTGTGCTCTTCAAACAAGCCAAATGTAAACACTCCTCTCGGAGCGAGAGCGCGCTGTCAGTTAGTAGTGGTTGGAATGATAGGTACTTCATGTGGTGGGCGTCTGTGAATTATCCTCCTTTCTTTCCCTTTAGAGTCTGTGGTGGAATGCCCCCGAAATTGCCATGGTAACGGCGAATGTGTTTCTGGATCCTGCCATTGTTTTCCTGGGTTTCTGGGCCCCGATTGTTCGAGAGGTAAATCAACCCTGTGCTTTTCTCAAGTCGGTTTAACACAACTTAAGTCACTTGAGAAGACAAATGCATCGGGAAAGCAACTGGCACGGGATTGCTTCTGAGATGTTCTTCTCTCTACAGCTGTGGTGAAGACCTTGGGTTTAATTTTTTAATGTTTCGTTTGACAGCAGCCTGCCCGGTGCTGTGCAGCGGCAACGGGCAGTACTCCAAAGGACGCTGCCTGTGTTACAGCGGCTGGAAGGGCACCGAGTGCGACGTGCCGACCACCCAGTGCATCGACCCCCAGTGCGGGAGCCGGGGCATCTGCATCATGGGCTCTTGTGCCTGCAACGCCGGGTACAAAGGAGAAAACTGTGAAGAAGGTAAATGAGTATATATTTACCCCAGCACCTGCTGCCGTTGGTCAGGTTGCCAGGTGGCACATCCAGCTCTATCGATGCTGCTAGGTCTAGATCATACACACTAATGGTGTTTCTTCAAAAATCATTTTAGAACACTAAAAATCCAGTTTGGTAATCACCAACCTCACTGAATTCTACAGAATTATTCTACTTTGCTTATTCCCAAGCAATCAGTGGAAAAATTCCTCATAATGTGTGATATCTTTTTTCTTGCCAGTAGATTTTTATTTATTTTTTCTGGCTGAGTTCAGCTGAGGGGAAAGCACACAAAAAAAAGATGTTGGAATGCTGGAAGACTTACTGAATTTTCACAGTCCAGAATAAACCATTAATGTATTACATTTGTTAGTAATCGTTTCCACCAACCACATTGTGGAAAGAGCTGATTCAAATGCAACAGAGTGAAAAATGATGCATCATTTTTGTATTCCAGAGATGTGCATAATAATATTCGTTCTGGTATGCTGCAAAATGTAGTTCATTTTCCATTCTATTTTTTTAGGGAGTAAAAAGCGCCATTTTCTTCTTCAATCAAATTGATTTTATTGATCTCCACGTACAAAGTAATGCAATTAAGTGCCTGGAATTAAATTTTCACACCATTGACCCTACAAGTGTAACATTTTATTGAGTCAAATTGCTAAATTAAATCTCGTCATCTAAAGCACATTAAAGTGAATTAAGACAGATAGACGGTATGCAACTCATTTATTTCTGAAGCAAGCTGAGGGTCCTGTACAGCTGTCGGAACTCTGGATCGGGTCAGTTGATACTGAGTGCTGCAGGGAATCCAACTCTTGTTACACTGTGATTAGGCAGAACAGAGATCAGTTGCCCCGGACCCAAAGCCAATCTTATTGTAATTCAGAAAAATTAGCAAACCTTGAAAGGTTCTCCATTAACTCAGTGACAACCTGTCTTGATGTCAGCTGTGTGCGCACACAGATTTTACGGTACCAGAAAGTGATATGGAAGCGAGGTGTTTTTACAGAGAGAATTGCTGCTGTGCGATTAGTGATGATAGAGTGATTTATCTTGTAGCTGGAGGAGGGTGCCTGGCACCAAGATACCTTGGTCTGTTCTGTCTTTTCCTCACTCGTTGCAGTGAAACAAAGGTGAACTTCTCAGCCTCAACCTACTCACATTTACCTTTGAGATCAGTGCAATGCTGCCTATTTCACAAGGGCTTAAAATGTGGATTAAGCCCCAAAATGCTGTGAGCATCTAGGGGTTGTTAACTATGGTTAGGGATGACGGCTCTAAGCTGACCTGTCTCATCTTCCTGCAGCGGATTGCTTGGACCCAGCCTGCTCCAGCCACGGCGTGTGCATCCACGGCGAGTGCCACTGCAACCCAGGCTGGGGTGGCAGCAACTGTGAAATCCTGAAGACGATGTGCCCTGACCAGTGCTCTGGCCATGGCACCTACCTCCAGGAGAGTGGTACCTGCACCTGTGACCCCAACTGGACAGGTCCAGATTGCTCCAATGGTAAGGGCTAAAAGCACTCATATTCTGTAAAATGATGTCGCCTTGAATAGCAGCATCTTAATGGCCTTATTGTGTTCTGACCTGACCTGCTGAGCTGATGGAAGTCTTTGAGTTGACTTCAGCATGAACTGTGAATTGATTCAAAGGTTCAAAATTATTGATGAATTTGAAGTGTTTGAAAATCAGTGTATTTGTTGGTATCTTTTAGCTGCCTTCACCTGGTAACTTCAGGTATTTCACATGCAAATACAGAATGCTTTTTGTACAATATATAGACCTAAGTATCATTTTACCCAATACATCTATTTAGAAACTTCAAACTGCACTAGTGAAACTAGACACAGTCACATTTTTAAAATCTCTCCAGCTAATTGGAGGTATTTTTCTTGAAAAACAGACAGCATTCCACTTCGAAGGCAAAGGGAATGCAAGAATGAATCCTAAACAGCTTTTGAGGAAGTGCACAGGCTGCCAAGGTGGAAGGAGTTTGTAGAAGTGAAGGAGCAAAGGGATTTCTTGAAGTCTGAAACTGAGCTTATTAAAACCATAGTCTGAGTTTAGAAAAAAAAGGAGAAAATGGCTAGAGGAACTATCACAGAGAGCAAAATCTAAATATTTATAAAGTATGACAACAGCCTTTTGAGAAATACGGGTTTTTAGAATACTGTTTGGTAGCCACATACCAAAAGAGAAATCTTGTCTAACTGTGAGACATACATTTGTCTAAAACAGTTCATCTAACAACTCAGATGATTTTGTTAATGAAAACTGAACACATGGACTGGCTGGGTTTATGCCAGCTTATGAATAAATATAACTTTTTCATGAGGAACCATCTTTTTAAAACAAATGTACTTCCTGACCGGGATCTGTGATACTCCATAATGGTTTATGCATACAAGAGCGATAGGACAGGGTTCCAAACATTCATGAAAAAGTGAGAGAGAGAAGAAAATGTTGTCTTCTGTTGAATTTGTTTAGAAGAAAAAAAGTTCTTCTCTGATCATGTCAAGCACTAAAAATGGCCATTTGTGAGAGACCCTTTCTAGCTCTCAGGCAAAACATGGATCCTCTATTTCATGACACAGTGTCCTCTATGCTGTTCCGGCTACATTCCGTCTTGTACGTTTCAAGGAATGATTGGTCATTAAAATAACATAAAATATTTCTGATCTCAGATATTTCAAAAGCATCAAACTCACAAAAGACCTTTGTAAAAATAAGCACAGTTTGCTGAAGTCGTGCAAAATGACCTTCAGAGTGGTAGATGAAAAAAGTAAATCTTACCTATAAACATTTTGTTAAGCTGCTAGAAGAAGAAAAGAATGAGTTATTTCCATCAGAGGGGTTTATAGGTTTGAAATCAGCAGAGCTTTCCTCTATCTTCATCAGCAGTTTGTCCATTAATTAGCCCTTCAATTCCACTTCAATTAAATTAACTCTAATTAATAAGTTCATTACAAAGATTGACGCACCTTGCTCAAAGCTAGTGTGCTAAAAGCTGATAAACACCTTCACCCTAATGAAAAATTGATTAGATTGAAGAGAAATAAACCTTTCTTTTCTTGGAGCTGCGTTGATGTTTTGTGACTCTAAAGTTAATCAAACCATCTTGCATCTCTTAATCAAAAATTTAATTCAAAGTAGATATAAAATGCTGTATAGGGAAAAAAAACGGGGCGGGGGGGAGGGAAGGAGGGGTTTGGGGCTGTTTCTTATGAGAAATGTCACAGCTCCTTGATGCTGTGTTTAATGTCCCACCGCACTTTGAGACAGAGGGTTAGACTCTGGGGGGGGAAGAAACACACTGTTGAGTGGGAAACTGGGAACCTTTCTTGCATTGAATGCTTCTTTCTTCTGCTGTGAACATAATTTCAGTCTTTATTACTGAACTGTTTGTTGTCTTTCACAAGAAAACAAACTAAATCTGTTGTCTTTCACGAGAAAACAGAAACTAAATGCAGTACTCTGAACCAGTATGTGGTTACAGCCCAGCTGTATGCCAAGGAACTGAAGTCCCTCAGGCTGTATTGCATCTCCTCTTGTTTTTCTGTTGTCTGCTTTAGCAGAAGTGAAGTTTGCTGGAGTCTGACTAAATGAATCAAAACTGTAAATGCAAAACCTGGCAGCCTAAATTATCATCTTGTATTAGCTGAGACTTAACACGTGTTGTTTGGCCTCTGAGTACCTTTGGCTGTTAACGTATATATCAATTATTCTATCAGTTACAAGATCCTGTTACTATACGTAAAAGACAAGTTAAATTGCTGTATGTTGATTTATTTTTTTTAACAATCTATTATTTAAACCAGACTCTTCATAGCTGTCACTGATACAAATTTACTGAAAGTAAAAGGGAATCATCTTTTATATTTAACAGATGTGTCAGTGTGTCAGCATAGTACTAATTTGTCTCACTAAGGCTGATTCTTTATAATGAAAAAATGTGTCAGAAATGGCACATTTTTGCTGTGAAAGAAAACAGGGAGCAGCGTAGGGAGGGGGTGCCTTGGTAAAATGAACTTTCATTAGGACTAGATTTTCACTCACAGCCCACAATGACCGAGGCAGATTTAGTCCCTAGGAGCTCACTGTAAGTTCTGGTATGTCTAAGTGCCATACAATCTAAGTTGCAAAAGGCTGCTCTTAAGACACGTGATCACAAGAAATGTGACTGAAAATTACTCCAAGCTAACAGATCAGCTGTGGACACTTAAGCGCCTGTAAATCTGCTGGACTTAGTTAAGTGAGCATCGGTGAAGAGATAGAACTCTGTGCTGTGTATCCTGGTGCGTCCTACCTGAAAACGCCTTTCACAGTAAATTTCTTTGACTTTATCTAAATAAATAAAGAAATAGATTTCCATTTATTTTTTTCTTACTCTTCACAAGTTGGATTAAAATGTAGCGCTGCTAATTAATGTATACCCTCTCTCTCCTGTGTGCACTCTCTTTCTCCCTTCCTCCCCCCTCTCGCACACAGAAATCTGTTCGGTGGACTGTGGCACGCACGGTGTGTGCATGGGTGGCACGTGTCGCTGCGAGGAAGGCTGGACGGGCGCCGCCTGCAACCAGAGGGCCTGCCATCCCCGCTGCGCGGAGCACGGCACCTGCAAAGACGGGAAGTGCGAATGTAGCCAGGGATGGAACGGAGAGCACTGTACCATTGGTAGGCTGGCTATGCTTTACCCTGTCTTCGCTGCAAAATTCAAACCGCCGGCGCTGCTGGCCTCGTCTGAATAAGAAGTGTATTACTTTGAAGCTTGTTTCTTCAAACAGAATATTTGCACCTGTCAGTCTGTGTAAAGGAGTTGATATTTTAGGAGAGGAAATGGTTATATAATGGCTCATCAGTTCTTCATACCTAGTTTGCCATGAAAAGGAGGTGGAAGAATTTCCTTTTCAATCTTTTCCTTTTAACTGCCTTTTGCTGAGGGGGAGGTTACTTTTATTTTACACTGTAAATATGTTATTTGAGTTGTGCTTTTCTATTTTTATGTGATAGCCTTACGTCTTTCAGAAATGAGGCTTCCTATTGTTTTTCTTTCTTTTTTTTTTTTATGGAGAAAAAGCTCTGAAAAGTGACTTGCCTACACAAAAATGTCACTTCCACTTTGTAGTAAATGTGATCTAGCTTCCCAAAATTATCTTCTTGTTAACATACCACTCGATTTTAGAATTACATCAAATTTCTTACATGTAAATAACAGCAGTTTAATACAGCTGATTGAGAAGAAGCTGTCCTTATTACAGCTTCTATGTTTCTGTAATCAAGTTAGTTCTAGCGCCTGGAAACCTTTGCAAATTATTGTGCCTTTATCAACGGAGCTTTTCTTACTCAGTTATTTACAGTCCGTATGTCCCATGTACAGCGGGACATCCTGCTCCACTGCACAGGTGTGCTAGTATGAGAAATTATGCACGTATGTAAGGGGACTAAGAAAAAGTGGAGGAGGAGTTGCCAAAAGTCTTATCATTTCCGTACTGGATTTGTATAGTTGTCATGCTAAGGAATTCCCTCCCACACCGGTCCCTCTTTGTGCAAGGCACTGCAGGTCTGTGACAGAGGGGGGGTTCTACCCAAACAATTTCTGTCTCAGCATAACCGCACAGGGAAACTTTTGCATGAGAGCGTGTAGGAAGCATAGACAAAAGAACTGGAAATGGTCTTAACCGTAAGAGATGACTAGCTTGTACTTAGGTGTGTGGGGAGCATTGCTCAAAGCTCAGCAAAGGGTGTGACGGGAGCGACAGCGCAGCTCTGCAGGTATTCATGGGACGCGTCTCCCAAGTGTGAGAAGCGTCATGGCTAAGCACGTAGAGGTGGATTGAACAGACAACAGAAGAGGTAGCTGCAGGCCAGGCAAAGGCAAGAGTAACGTTGGGTGATCAGGAAATCATGCATCGTCCAAATAGTCCTAAAAAATTCCAGTAAGTAAAAAAACCCCATAGTTTTATGGTATGAGGGATAGGAGAGGGTCAGTTAAAAGCGGTGATGTAGCCAGAGCAGCAGAACAGTAAGTCTCATAGCAGTAGAGCTGATGGATGTGAATATAGCATGGTTTGCTTGTACCACAAGCTACACAGAGGCTGGGGATTTTTAACTTTCGTGAATGTTCTGGAAGGACTGTAACTCTGAATGTGTTAGCACAGCTCGGCCATCCCTGGGGCATGAGCTTCTAGAAAACAGTGAAACCCAAGCTGCGTTCCCCGGTAGCTCACAGCCCTGGCTGAGAGGCAGGGGGGTGGTGCTGCGCTCGGTGGTCATGGAAAACGGGGGTGAGCTTGGGGGGCAAGGAAACCGAGGGCCTGTTACAGCCGTACGAACTGATACCCGCACCCTCACACCAGGAAGATGAGGCAAAGTTTTCTTTTGTAAAAGGGAGCCAGGTGTGAAGTAGCCAATTAATTTATGAGTTCTTTTTTACCAAAATCACACTCGACTGGTTTTTTTGTTGTTTTCTAATGAGAGTGCCCAGACATAGGAGGGAGGGGGAACCACGTCGCATCTGCAGAATCCCAGGGAGAATCGGTAGGGTTAACATTTTTGAGGAGCTTCCAGAAAACATGCTGACAAAGAGAGTAGAGAGGTGGGGAGAGAACTGCTTTCGGAACAATAAAATAAAGTAAATCTTTAGAAGTAGGATAAAGCCTTTCCCTTGACCGCTTTAACTTGCCAACCAGCAATTACTCAGCAGATCGCTCTGCTGTTGGTCTCACTGACCTTGGCAGCATTTCAAGGGTTGTAGTTATACACAGATGAACTGCTCTTGAACAATTTTTCCAACGTATTAAGCACAAACAAGTTTTTCCTCAGCACTGGGCAAGCAGGTCTGTCTTCCCACCTGTTTACTCTTTAAATGGGTGTTTACTTTGTGGCTGCTGCTGTAAAGATAGTTTGATTTGTTTATATTGCCCTTACAGCCTCCAAGACAAGTAATGAGGTACAGGCTCTAGCCTGCTGTTGTATTTATTTTTCTTAGAGCTGTTTTCTTCAGGAGACCAGTGTTACGAAGAAACCAGGTCATTTTATTGCTCATTTCCAAGAGTATTTCCACTCAGTGGAGTAAAAATTGCTGCTTCCTCAGCTTGGTAAATGAAGAGTCAAATTGCCTTTCTCTCACCTGCCCTAAAGTAGATAGTAGCTCTTTCTAAGCAATACATTTCAAAACACAAGGGACATCAGAATGTTTCTCCATGAAAACCATTCTTTTATTGTCACCCTCTATTTGTAACTCAGGCATTTTTATGCCCCTTACAACTGCCAGCTGGGTAGAAGAATATTTATGTAACTTGTGGCGTGTGTATGAGACTCCCACTCTCCCATTGTATGTCTAGGAATAAACAATTGCACCATTCTCATTTCTGAAATCATAGGACCATAAAATAGTTTGGGTTTGAAGGGAGCTTCAGAGGTCATCTAGCCCAAACCCCCTGCAATGATCAGGGACACCTTCATCTAGATCAGGTTGCTCAGAGCCCCGTCCAACCTGACCTTGAATGTTTCCAGGGATGGGACATCTGCCACCTCTCAGGGAAATCTGTTTCACCACCCTCATTGTAAAAAATTTCTTCCTTATACATAGTCTAAGTCTACCCTCTGTTATTTTAAAACATTACCCCGTGTCCTATCACAACAGGCCCTACGAGAATGTCTGTCCCCATCTTTCTTATAAGCCACCTGTAAGTCTGGGAAGGCTGCAGTCAGGTCTCCCCAGAGCCTTCTCTTCTCCAGGCTGAACAAGCCCAACTCTCCCAGCCTGTCCCCATAGCAGAGGGGCTCCAGCCCTCGGAGCATCTTCGTGGCCTCCGCTGGACTGCCTCCAACTGGTCAATACCCTTCTGATGTTGAGGGCCCCAGAGCTGGATGCAGCACTCCAGGTGGGGTCTCAGGAGGGCAGAGTAGAGGGGCAGAATCCCCTCCCTCGACCTGCTGGCCACACTTCTCTGGATACAGCCCAGGATACAGTTGGCTTTCTGGGCTGCCAGCGCCCACGGCCAGCTCATGTCCAGCTTTTCATCCCCCAGCACCCCCAAGTCCTTCCCAGGGCTGCTCTCAATCCATTCTCTGCCCAGTCTGTTTCGATACTGGAGATTCCCCCAGCCCAGCTGCAAGACCTTGCATTTGGCCTTGTTGAACCATATGAGGTTCACATGGGCCCACTTTGGAGCTTGTCCTGGTCCTCAGGATGACATTCTGTCCCTCAGGTGTGTCAACTGTCTTAAAAGTCATTAACCACTTAGCTGCAGTAAGGCAAAGCACTGTATAAATGCAGATATATTTATTCGATGCAGCTATTAATGTGAAATCACATGAAGTTGAATGGCCTAAATTTACAACTCCTTTGGGAAAGGAATACTCCAGAGAAGTTGTAAATTTTAAGGGCAATGCATTTAATCACTTTTTGGGAAAGGAATAGCCCACCAGATCTCTGCCTGGATGCACAACATGGAGTACATGTGTATGCCTTAATCACACACGCACTAACTGGAACATGTACTGGATGATCTAAATCCATAACTCATTTGATCAATGAGATTATGTCTTTTTTTTAGTGAAGCATGAATGCTGTTTAAAATGGTAAAAATGATTTGCACCTCCAGTAACGAATTTTATGTACTAAAAAAAATGCTGCCGATGTGCCCAGTCTCATTTTCAGTTAGCCCACTGTTTGTCAACATGTGTTAAAGGGTAGGAAGAAGGGAAAAACAAATTATCTCCTTAATTAGAACAAGGCAGTCCTTAGTTTTTGTTACCCTCTATTATCTTTTAAACCCTGGATTGCTTCTTGAGTTACACGGTTTTTATGTAGCCTTCAAGATATTAAAATGGGAATTTGGCCAAAGGAAATCCTAATTGTTCTGAACTTCCAGGGACCATTAGTTTATTCTTCAGGACATTGGGAAGCAAGATCATAGAGGATTGCGAATGTTTGCTTTTTCACTCAGACAAAATTTAGACATCTGCTTCTTAGCATACCTCTTAATCAGCAGCTTAACAAAGCCCTAAGGCTGCGGATCACCAGACAAATTGGGAAATAACGTACGTATGTATTTTATATACATTTGAGTTGTGAGAGAGAACAGGACAGACTAAATAAAGCAGCATTTGTTTCATTGTGAAGCAGTGTGTCTAGTAAGGTGGGCAAGGTAGCGCTGACTGCTGTGGTAAACGTGCTGCGTGTTGCTGGTAGCCACTCTTGCACTGTGCATCTCTGGCACGAGGCAGCTCCGACTTCAGTACCGCACCTGATACGGGCCACGCTTGTGCGTCATCGCCTTCGCCCTGAACACATCGTTCCCAAGCGTTAGAGCTAAGATCCTCGCTGTTGTGGTGAGATGAATCTAACGACAATTAACAAAATTCAAAGTTTTACAGGATTGCACTGGGCACTGGCAATATATGGTCCAAATACTAAGCAGTGTAATGCATCTACTGCCCCTCTACTCTGCTCTGGTGAGACCCCACCTGGAGTGCTGCGTCCAGCTGTGGAGCCCTCAATATCAGAAGGATATTGACCACTTGGAGCGAGTCCAGAGGAGGCCACGAAGATGATCAGAGGGCTGGAGCCCCTCTGCTATGGGGACAGGCTGCGAGAACTGGGCTTGTTCAGCCTGGAGAAGAGGAGGCTCCGAGGAGACCTCATTGCAGCTTTCCAGTATCCGAAGGGGGCCTACAAGGGTACTGGGCGAGGACTTTTTACAAGAGCCTGTAGTGACAGGACAAGGGGTAATGGATATAA